GTGTGCGTAGGTGTGTCAGTGTGTATGGGGGTGTAAATATGTGCGTGAGTGTATGTGTGTGGGTATGTGTGTACATATTACCGTGTAAGCTAGTAATATGTAACAACATAGACACAGAGAAGGATAGACAGATAGACGATAGATAAATAGAAGATAAAAAGAACCATTTAGAAAATATTTTTCCCATCATAAACAAATGAATAAATAAACACGGTACGATACTCTCTCCACACAAAGTACATCTGACAGAAATGGAGAAAGAGGAAAATAAAGATAAAAAACATAACCAAAGCTTTACACAAATCATTAAACATATAGACACATAAACAAACCAATAAATAACTAAACACGGTACGACACTCTCTCTCTCTCTCCATACCCACACAAACACACACGGGCGTCGTCTGGCAGCGGGGTCCACGGCACAATTACGCGCCCGTCCTACTCATCAGAGCCCCGGCCTGAAGCCAAACTCAATTCTCTTATATTTTGCTTCGCTGCTCCGACTTATCTGCCGTTTAAGACTATCCGATCTCTTTTAAAGAGTATTTCGGAGGTTTATTTTCCTATTTGGCGGTTTACTTTTTTTTCGTTTTCTTTTTTTCTTTTATTTTTTTTGTCATTTATCTATTTTCTGCAAGGGGGGAGGATAAGGAGGATAAGGATAAGGAAGAGGAGGAAGAGGAGGAAAATATAATGGAGGAACGAAGAGTAAGAGGAAAGAAGAGGAAGAGAGAAAGAGGCATGGGGAAGAGGATAAAGAGGAAGAAGAGAGAGAAAGAGAAGAGCATAAGGAGGAGGAAACGATGGGATAGTAAAAGTAGGAATGGGAAGAGAAAGAGCAAGGAGAAGAGGAGGAAGTGGAGGAGGAGAAGAAGAAAAAGAGGAGCAGGAAGGGAAAAAGAAGGAGGAAGAAGAGAGAAGAAAAAAGAGGAATAGGAGGAGGAGTGGAAGAAGAAGGAGGAGGAGGAGAAGAAAAGCTGAAGAACTGGGAAAAGAGAAAGTGGAGAGGAGGAGGAAGCGGGAAAAAAATAGAAAAAAGAGAAAGAAAGTAAAAAAAAAAGGAGTAGGAAGAGTGGGTAGAAGTAAAGAAGACAAAGAAATGTAGAAAAAAAAGGAAAGACAGACAAAAAGCGAACAAATACGACGATAATGGAGAAGAAAAGCAGACAAAGAAGAATAGAGCAGAGGAAGGAAATTGGAGAAGAAAAAAGGAGTTAGAAGAATGGGAAGGAGGAGGAGAGGGAGAAGAGATGGAAGAAGGAAAAAACACGAGAATACGGAAAGGAGACGAGAAGAAGAGAAAACAAAGACGCAGCAACTGAGAGAGGGGGGGGGGGGTGGAGTGGGTGGTGGGGGGGGGAATTGGCAAGGGCAGAGAGTGAGAAGCGAAGGAGAAGGGAAGAGGGAAGAAAACGGGAAAATAGGAAGCAGGCGAAGAAAAGATAAGGAAGAGGGATGGACAGAGAAGGGAGACGGGGAAGGAGAGGGAGAGAGGAGAGGCGAAAGGAGGGGAGAGGGGAGGGAGAAGGGAGGGAAGGAGCGTAAGGAAGGGGGGAGGGGCGAGGAGAGAGATCGGGGTAGTGAGAGAGGGGGGAGGCGAAGGGAGGGGGAGGGGGGCAGGGGGTCAGGGGCAAGGGAGGGCAGTCGAGGCCATGTCAGAGGGGAGAGGGAGGGGGGGGGGCAGAGGAAGGGAGTGGAAAGGGGGGGGAGGAGGGAAAGGCCTGGGAGAGGAGAGAGAGGGAAGTTAAAGAGGGGGGAGGGAAGGGGGTAAGGGAGGGTAGGGGAGGCCAGGAGGGGGGGAGAGGCCTGGGAGAGAGGGAGGGGACAGGGGGGGGGCAGAGGAAGGGCACGCGGAGGGCAATGCAGGCAGGAGAAGGCAGGGATCGCGGGGGGGGGGGGGGCAGCGGCGGGGGGGGGGGGGGTCCTTCGCCCCGGCCCTTCCATTAGCCGGAGCGCCCGGGGCCAGCGGGGCCTCCTCTATGGCCCCGTCCTTGCTTGTTCGCCTGCTTTATCATGCTGTTGCTTTTCCTTCCTTCTCTCTCTCCTTCGTTGTCTTTTCCTTCTCTCTCTCCTTCGTTGTCTTTTCCTTCTCTCGCTCCTTCGTTGTCTTTTCCTCTCTTCTCTCTCCTTCCTTCGTTTCTTTCTCCTTCCTTCTCTCTCTCCTTCGTTGTCTTTTCCTCTCTTCCTTCTCTTCGTTGTCTTTTCCTTCTCTCTCCTTCGTTGTCTTTTCCTTCTCTTCTCTCGTTGTCTTTTCCTTCTCTCTCTCCTTCGTTGTCTTTTCCTTCTCTCTCTCCTTCGTTGTCTTTTCCTTCTCTCTCTCCTTCGTTGTCTCCTTCCTTCGTTGTCTTTTCCTTCTCTCTCTCCTTCTTGTCTTTCTTCTCCTTCGTTGTCTTTTCCTTCTCTCCTTCTTGTCTTCCTTCTCTCTCTTCGTTCTTGTCTCTCTCTCCTTCGTTGTCTTTTCTTCTTCTTCTTCGTTGTCTTTTCCTTCCTCTCTTCTCCTTCGTTGTCTTTCCCTTCTCTCTTCTCCTTCGTTGTCTTTTCTTCTCTCTTCTCTCCTTCGTTGTCCTTTCCTTCTCTCTGTCTTTTCTCTCTCTCTCGTTGTTGTCTTTTTCTCTTCTCCTTCGTTGTCTTTCCTCTC